CGCAGACAGGACACCTCTTGAGCTATGCTGCCTAGATGTTCATTCCACAAGATACATCCTAAATCATCACCCCCAAGCTCATAGTTTCACAGATCTCCAGGGCAGGGTCACGGTGCAGCCACGTTCTCTGTTAGGCCAATCAAATGGAACCTTGGCTCTTGTTCACAGGAAATTCCTCATTTTCATCTGAGACCTTTTAAGTCTGGCCTTCACTGTCCATCCTTCTGTCAGCCTTCTCATCACAAGCATTTCACAATTCTCTACAGTGCTCCAAACTTTTCCTCACCTTGCTGTCTTCTAAGCTCTCCCAACTCTCCCGACCTCTGTCTTTTACCCACTTCTGAACCTGCTTCTACACTGTCAGCTATCTTTGTCACAGTCTGGCAATGTGGTAAAAGAAAAGTCCAATTTCAGGGAAAAAATTCACGCAGGCTTCAGATATTTGCATGAAAAGAAGCTGAGCACTGATTGCCAAGACAATGGGGAAAAGGCCTTGAAGGCATTTCATGGCTTGAGTTCACAGTACTAACTGTCTGTATGATCATAAAGAAAGTTTAATTGGCTCACGGTTCTGCAGGCTGCAAAGGAAACACAGTGCCTTCTGCCTCTGGGAGGACTCAGGTGCCTCCTGATCACAACAGAAGGCCAAGGGGCAAGGAGATGTTTCACGTGGCAGAAGGAGCAGACTGAGAAGAAAAAGGTGCCACACCCTGCTATAAAACCAGATCTCATGAGAACTCACTATCACGAGGTCAGCATCAAGAAGACAGTGCTGAACCACTGGTGAGGCTTCCACCCTGGAAAACCACCTCCCACTGTTTCCAGGAAAAGCATGCTGCAGAGGCAGAGCCTCTTGGGAAACCTCTGCTCAGGCACTGCAGAAGGAAAATACAGGCTTGCAGGCCCCACGCAGAGGTCCACCACCCTCCGGACCCCAGGCCCCCCCTAGCAGAAGTGGCTGGTTGCTCCTTGAGCCACCTTGGCTTTGCCTGCAATGCACAGGCCCCAGCCACCGACACACTGCTCCGACTGAGCTTGTCCTGCCTTGTCCCAAATTCTAAGTCTGGCCAGGGCCACAGAAGGCTGAATCCCCTGGGTGGTAATCCTGCCTGCTTTCTGCACTTGAACATAAAGTCCTCCTCAAGATGGCCTGTGGTCTGCCTCTTGGCAACCAACAAGACCGCAGTGCCATAGGAGCCCTGAGGCATGGACTGGAGCACGAAAGGCAGCACATACCCTGCTCCTGAGCCGGCTGCTCATTTTCTGTGTGGCTCCATGTGTAGCACGGTTGCTGCACTGAGGTTTGTGCATGCCGGGCAAGGCCAAGCTGGCTCAAAGAGCAACTAGCCACCTCTGCAAGGGTGTGCCAACAGAAGGCGGACCAGCCACCAACATCACTCGCTGCAGGACATGGGACATCAGTTCTCCTATGCTAAAGATAAGGCCACGGTGCCATCTGCTTTTCCTCAGGCCTCTGCTCCATCAGCCATTAGGTGGCAGCCACTCACGCTGTGTGAACCTGGCCATCCCTGCTTCCTTGAGTGGATGAGGTTAGTGGCTGGTCCACTGGCTCCTGGCACACCCTTGCAGAAGAGGCTGGTTGCTCTTTGAGCCAGCTTGGCCTTGCCTGGCATGCACAGGCACAAGGTACTGACACGCTGCTCTGAGTGAGCTTGTCCGGCCTTGGGCCAAATTCTAAGTCAGGTCACAGCCACAGAAGTTGAGTCCCCCAGGTGGTAATTCTGGCGACTTTCTACACTTGAACATAAAGTCTTCCTCAAGACGGCCTGTGGTCTGCCTCTTGGCCACCAAGAAACCCGAAGTGCCGTATGAGCCCTGAGGTATGGACTGGAGCCCCAAAGGCAGTGCACACCCTGCTCCTGAGTCTGCTGCTCATTTCCTCTGTGGCTTCATTTGTAGCACGGTTGTTGCACTGAGGCTTGTGCATGCCAGGGAAGGCCAAGCTGGCTCAAAGAGCAACCAGCCACTCCTGCAAGTATGTGCAAGGAGTTGGTGGATGAGCCACTAACCTCACTTGCTGCAAGTCGAGGTACATCACTTCTACCCTACAGGTAGAGCCCCAGTGCTATCTGCTTTTCCTGAGGCCTCTGTTCCATCAGCCATCAGGAGGAAATCACTCAGGTTGTAGGAACCTGGCCATCCCTGCTTCCTTGACTGGGTGAGGGTAGTGGCTGGTCCAACTGCTCTAGGCACACCCTTGCAGAGGTGGCTCATTACTCCAAGAACTAGATTAGCCTTATGCAGCAAGCACAGGCCCCAGCTAACTACACGGTGCTCCGAGTCAGCTTGTCCTGCCTTGGCCCAAATTCTAAGTCTGGCCAGGGCCACAGAAGGCCGAGTCCCCTGGGTGGTAATCCTGCCTGCTTTCTGCACTTGAACAAAAAGTCCTCCTCAAAATGGCCTGTGGTCTGCATCTTCACAACCAAGAAGGCTGCAGTGCCATAGGAGCCCTGAGGCATGAACTGAAGAACAAAAGGCAACACACACCCTGCTCCTGAGCCGGCCGCTCCTTTCCTCCATATGGGTCCATGTGTAGCACGGTTGTTGCACTGAGGCTTGTGCATGCCAGGCAAGGCCAAACTGGCTGAAAGAGCAACCAGCCACCTCTGCAAGGGTGTGCCAGGAGCAGGTGGACCAGCCACCAACCTCACTCGCTGATAGACATGGTACATCAGTTCTTCTTCCCTAAAGGTAGGGTCGAGAGGCAGACCACAGGCCATCCTGAGGAGGACTTTATGTTCAAGTGCAGAAAGCAGGCAGGATTACCACCCAGTGGACTCAGCCTTCTGTGGCCCACAGTGCCACATGAGCCCTGAGGCATGCACTGGTGCCATCTGCTTTATACAAAAATTAAGATGGATTAAACAGTTAAACGTGCCATCTGCATTTCCTCAGGCCTCTGCTCCATCAGCCATTAGGTGGCAACCACTCAGACTGTGGGAATCTCAACATTCCTGCTTCCTTGAGTGGGTGAGGTTGGTGGCTGGCCCACCTGCTCCAGGCACACCCTTGCAGAGGTGTCTGGTTGCTATTTGAGCCAGTTTGGCCTTGCCTGGCATGCACAGGCCCCAGTAACTTACAGGCTGCTCTGAGTCAGCTTGTCCCAAATTCTACGTCTGGCCAGGGCCACAGAAGGCTGAGTCCCCTGGGTGGTAATCCTGCCTGCTTTCTGCACTTGAACACAAAGTCCTACTCAAGACGGCCTGTGGTCTGCCTCTTGGCAACCAACAAGCACGCATTGCCATACGAGCCCTGAAGCACTGACTGGAGCCCCAAAGGCAGCACATACCCTGCTCCTGAGCCTGCTGCTCATTTCCTTTACAAGGCTCCATGTGTAGCACAGTTGCTGCACTGAGGCTTCTGCATGCCAGGCAGGGCCAAGTTGCCTCAAAGAGCAACAAGCCACTTCTGCAAGGGTGTCCCAGGAGTCAGTGGAAGAGTCAACAACTTCACGCGCTGCCAGTCAGGGTACATCAGTTCTTCTACCCTACAGGGGGGGCCCCAGCGCTATCTGCTTTTCCTGAGGCCTCTGCTAAATCAGCCATCAGGAGGCAGCCTCCAGGCTGTAGGAACCTGGCAATCCCTGCTTCCTTGACTGGGTGAGACTGGTGGCTGCCCACCTGCTCCAGGCGCACCCTTGCAGAGGTAGCTTGTCGATCTTTGAGACAGCAGGGCCTTGCCTGGCATGCACAGGCCCCGGCTACCTACACGCTGCACAGAGTCAGCTTGACCTGTCTTGGCCAAAATTCCAACTCTGGCCAAGGCCACAGAAGGCCAAGTCCCCGGGGTGGTAATCCTGGCTGCTTTCTGCACTTGATAGTCCTCCTCAAGATGGCCCATGGTCTGCCTCTTGGCAACCAAGAAGCCTGCAGTGTCATAGCAGACCTAAGGAATAAACCAGAACACAAAAGGCAGCACACACCCTGCTCCTGAACCTGTTGCTCACTTCCTCTACATGGTTCCATTTATAGCACAGTTGTTGCACTGAGGCTTGTGCATGCCAGGCAAAGCCAAGCTGGCTCAAAGAGTAATCAGCCACCTCTGCAAGGGTGTGCCAGGAACCAGTGGAAGAGTGACCAACATCACTCGCTACTAGTCAGGATACGTTAGTTTTTCTACCCTAGAGGTAGGGTCAAAATGTCATCTGCTTTTCCTCAGGCCTCTGCTCCATCAGTCTTTAGGTGGCAGCCACTCAGGCTGTGGGAACCTGGCCATTTCTGCATCCTTGAGTAGCTGAGGTTGCTGGATAGTGCACCTGCTCCAGGGGCACCCTTGCAGAGGTGGCTGGTGGCTCTTTGAGCCGGCTTGGCCTTGCCTGGCATGCACAGGCTCCAGCTACTTACATGCTACTACAAATCAGCTTGTCCCAAAGTCTATGTCTGGCCAGGGCCGCAGAAGGCCGAGTCCCCTG